ATCAATTTCGATGCTTCTCTTGCCAGCCATTTTTGTCCTCTCTGATGGACCAGGACGACCCGGACGCTGCTCAGTTGTTTCCTTGCCATGTTTCCTGAACTGCACGATGATTCTGTTGACTGTTGAAAGCGGGATTCCCAAATTCTGCAAAATTTGCCGCTGACTTATTCCACCATCTGCTTGGCCAACTATCCTTCCTGTAACAAAATCTGACAATTCGAGAGAACCTTGAGTTCTAGGCACGTTGTAGCACAAGATAATTAGTGTACGAACCACTTTTATTTATATAGTGCTCTGTAAACACAAATTAGTTAAATGACGAAAAATTAGGTGTCTATTTTACTTGTGACCACTCAGTGTATATTATGTAATATCTACTTTTCATTCTTTAAATCCTGACTCAATAAAGCAAGTTAAAAAAGAAGTCAGAGAAATATTTTTTCAGAAGAAATTCCGAATGAAATCAATATTTAGCTCAAAGATAATTTGGACTATTGGATTAACAACATTTATCAGGGATCAGAAAATTAAATGTCTGTTTTACTGATTGAACTTTTATCTGGTCCTGCTTCCCAGTCCATACACACAAGGAGCCTAGCAGGTGTAAAATAAAAAAATACATTACAAAAGCAAAGCATTTTGTATTTTAAAATGTGTGTGAAAGGTCTAAGTCAACAGGTCAGTATACCTAAAACACAGTTAAAATTAAACCACATGTACAACATGTGTGTGTGCGTATGTATTTATATATAAACATTTGTTTCACAAAGGCCACACAAATATTCATTGAAAATGATTTTTAACTTTTGTTGTTAAGCTTTCAGGACTAATATTTTAATCAAATGTTAAAATATTTTTGCCACTAAAAAATAAAATAAAAATGAGAAAATTACATGTCCTAGGAATTATTATCATACATTTTAATATAAAGCATTTAAAACCATTTCAAACAACAAAATTTATAAATCAAAACAATTACCCTATGTCTATATTTTTCATCAAATTCAGACTGCAAACTTCTGATCCTCTCTTCAGTCTTGAGGTGGTTAGAAAAAAATAGAATGAAAACTTTCTTTAAGCTTATGTACCGTACAAAATAATATAAACTTCTAGAAAAATTATCATTGTTGAACTTGGTAGAAAAAAAGTATTTTAATTTCTAGATTTTTGTTTTGATGCCACACAAAATTACACAACAAATGTTTTATGTACATTGGAATATCACAGAAATATCTATTTTTGTTTTTGACTAAAAATCTTTACCAGTAAAATAGCATTACAATCAAATTTGGTATTATTCAAACCAAGACTTTTATGGGTTTTATAAGTTTATGAACGTGTTTACAACATATTTACAATTTTTCAAAAGTTAATATTCTAATAAGGGACTAGCACATACACACAAAAAAATACATGTATATAACACTTTTCTGATAATTATAAAACCTTCCACTCAATAATTTTTTTATGCAAAATTATGAAGCTTTTTTTTCTCTCGCATATTGGAAATAAAGCTTTATCTCATTTTAAATTATTTACTTTGTCTGCCTTATAAACAGCTTAAAATTGGGTCTGGTTTTAAGTTACTTGACCATGGTTATGCTTGACGTTTTGGCTATAGAACATAAAAAAAATTTAGATCTAATGTATAAATTGCCACCACCTTGACTAAAACTATTTCCAAGATAACATGCGGTACGTGACAGATAAAATAATAAACTTAAACACTTTTTCGAGAAAATGTTACTAATTTTTTTTCTTAAACAGTAAAAAATGTTAACTATAATTTAAATTTAAGAATGAAAGTGAGTTACAACCTGTCCTGCAAATAATTAAAGCTTCACAAATATATCATTTGACTAATATTATCAACTGATATTTTATTTTTTGTACATATGTTGTTCTTGATAAAGTCATCATATAAAGATGGCCAATCTTATTTTTATGTTTCATTTCCATAAACAAGCAGAAATAATTCTCTTGCATGCATACAGATAAAAACTCTAATTAAAAATTGTAACTTGGTTATTTTGTTGGGTTAGAACATATTATAGTAATAATACACATGGTTCATACTGAATTTCTCAGATCAATTTCAAGCACTTTTCAAGAACTTTCTAAGCACTCTCAGAATGTTTTTCAAGCACTTTTTGGAAGCTAAAATCTAGATCAAAATCAATCGTATTCCACTGAAATTTCATAAAATTCCTATTTATTTTTTCCACAAGGACTTTCAAAGATGTGTATGCACCCTGAATATAAGGTAATTCCTAAAGTATGTGCATTGCAGAGTGCCAAGCACGAACAAATTTAGCATACTTTGAGAAAAATAACAAAAAGTTAAAAATTCAAGAGTCTATTTTAAATATAAAGAAAAACCCACATCCCTGAAAGTTACAAATTTAAATATTAGTTTCTAGTGTACTCAAACAATATTCTGCATTTTTTGCAAAATAATTTTTCTTGAATGCATTATTACTGTAACTATAATATACCAAAATCTTTTCACAGAAATTATATTTTGTTTTGAGTTTACATTTATTTTTGACTTTAATGTGGCATGAAAAGACAAATCATTCAAATTACTTACATTATTATATATCTGTAGAGTCTATATTATAGACCTTGATCAAATAAAAACAAACATACTTTTCTTTAACTTAAGGTTCAGCTATTTTAGATTAGAGATAGCATATACATTCAAATACATAAGTAAATGTGTAATGAGATTACTAACTAATACATTTGGCTACCATACAACTAGTCTGCCATAACGATTCTGCATCAGTCATGGCTCATGCATAAAAATATCATGACTAAATACAGATGAAGCTATGTTACCTTTTACTTTATATCAGTGTGTTACAGTATTTTTAAAATCACAAAATATGTGGGTTTAGTCATTTTCGTAGTGCAAAGCTATACAACTGGCTATCTGCACTCTGTCCGCTATGGAGAATCAAATCCTGAATTTTATCATTGCAAGTCTGTAAACTTATCACTAACCCACCAGAGTACAGGTTAGGGTTTGTCAACCATTATAAAACATGAATTGATTTAAAATAAGATCAGGTATGCACTTTCCTAAATTTGTTTTTAATGTACCTAAAATGATGACAATTAAAAATATATTATTTAAACTTATTTGTTGATATTTTTAATGCCTTTCTCACTTAACAATTCATATAAGAGCATTAATGGGAGTTCTTATTAAAAAAACAAATACAACACGATTAGCTATGTTAAGTTTAATTTCTGTTGTCATTAATATTAGTTAAATTATTTGTAATGGTTATTAGTTAATACATCTTTTTCCATTATCAGTATCTATATTGATATAAGCAAAATAAATAATGGTTGATCTTGAGTATAAACACTGAAAATTTGTAAAATATAGCATATATAATATGCATTAATCCCAAAGTTAATTAAGTTGCTCTCAGTTCCTTATGGGTGGAATTTTGTTTTTCCTTTATCCAATTAGCGGGGAGGAAGGGGGAGTGGCAACAGTTTAAATGTTAAAAGCTGGAAAAGCATTAGAAACCAACAGAGAACACTTACTTGCAAGAATTCATCACTGTGTTCTTGTAGATATGTTATTTGTTCATTTATCTTTTGTTTGATTTCATCTTTCTGTCTTAGCAACTCATCTCGTTCTCTTGCTATACATTGCTTGGGGAAAAAAAAAGTTAATATGAAATAATTAAATATTTGATTTTACAATCTTCTTCAGATTACTTTTACAGTAGAGAAAAATTCTCTCCAAGTATTAATCTTTTAACACTGATCTATATGGAAAAACTTTCAGTAATAGTAAAATTACAACCATATGTAACACTATAACTAATAAATCTAATAATAATAATAATAACTAATAATCTTGTAATGTTAAATATACAGTGAAAAAATATTGAGTTTAAATGGATGATATAAAACTTACATTTATCATATACTTAAGAAGAATTGTTTTAAGTGCAATAAACAACTTAGAATTTTTTTTTTACATTCCCTAATGCACTTTTCTTTAGTATTTATTTGTTGTATGGTACTTGACAGCTCTATTTCTGGTGTTTTCCACAAAAGCTGAAAGTAACTGAGAATTCTCTCTCTACTTTTTCCCACTCAACAAATTTACCAGAATCCATCAGTTTTATGTTTCTCACAATTCAATAATGACAAAGTTTTAACTGCAGTGCCATTTTTGCCAACATATACATGTATAATTTATCACATGACTGATGACCTTTTAAAGCTTTATATGAACAAAGAAATAATCTGACCAGGAAATCTTACTTTAGCATATTCTCCTTGCTATTAGCATAAATAACTTTTTCAACTGTAATTTTACAAACAAGCTTTTGCCGAGTAGAACATAATTGATCTTCTTTTCAAAGAACTGTTGTGGGAGAAACTTGTGCGCATATAATAGATTTTTTTCCCCTTTTGGTAGATTTAAGAATGATTTCTATTTACAGTTTATGTTATTTGTAAAAGCATTTTGGAATTTATCACAGAATTTTCTTTCAAAAGACTGACACATTTTGTTGTAGCAGGCTAAGTCATTTACAGACATGGGTAATAACCTGATAACATTACTATTAACTCAACAAAGACAGACTAGCTTTTTTAAATTCTTATCACTTCATAAATAAATGCTCCAATGTGTATATTTCTATCTCTGCTCATGTTTTAGAAGAATAATTTGTCAATATTTTACTTTCATACTTGTCAGCTTGGCTTCCATTTCAAAATGAAAAGATCAAAGTTATTCAAAGTTTGTTATCTCTACTCCCTCTAGACCTAATGTCCACTTTATTTCTTATCTCTCTTAAATTTAACTGAGTTTGTATTAGGGACAGAAGTGGTAGAGAATGAAAAGAAAAAAGTTGGAGATTTACAGCAGGTTGGCAGAGAACAATTTATAATATGAAGCCCAAAACACTGCTGAGGGTTTATCTTTGCTGATTTATTGCCATCTTCAAGATGTGATGGAGGAACTACTATATTATAAACTACTTTCATATGTATATATAAAATTCCTATACACAAACTCATCATTCTTCCCCACAATTAGGTGAGTTTCATCTCCTTTTCTGCAGAATGTACAACCTATGTTCTTGCAATGTAATTTACATAAGTCGATTAATAAGCAAATGCATTGTTTGTAAAAAATTAACAACTATGATATCTCAGATATATTTATGTTTACATAGTTGCCTATCCTGGAAAACTGAGATGAAAGATAAAGGTTTAAACTGTTTCTCTTTCCTTATGAAGGTAAAATTTTATAGAAATTAATATTTATTATCATTTACAGAGAAGATTATAGTTTTAATAAAGTCACAACCACTACACTTTCACAACAATATGTAAAGAAAAGATACAAATCCATTATACAAAAACTTATTAGGGATTTGTTGTGCTATTTCATTACTGCCTAAATACTGCAAGAAGATGCAATTTTCAAACTTATGCTAGACAGCATTACTATGAAGTGTAACAAGTTTAGTTACACAAGAAGTCTAAAGTGTTCTAGAAAATTAGCTAGAAAAATCAAGATTTAAAACTGCTACAAATATGATATTTTTGTTTGACGCAGACTTAAACAAATGATACGTCCTCAGACAACATAAAGATGAGGCTTAAGTGGGGTAAGGGAGATGTTTCTTTATAGAACATTCAACTGGTTGTTATGCATTGTAATAAATAGACTGAGCATTGATAAAAAATTTTGAATTTTGAGACTAATTAGTGGTTAATGATTTATACTTGGGCAAATGGAAAATCTTCAAATGAGATACTCTCAAATCTTGCCTTTGTTAACCATGCAAGAAAAATGGCTGTACCCACAAACATGATAGAAACAGGAAGTATTAGGACTGAGATTAGCAAGTTCTGTCCAATATCCTTACAACTAATGACTCTAACTTCCTAATATTTTATCCCTAGGTTTAGCTAAAAACGTAGAATCATCCCAGTGACAAGAATCACATGAAAATCTCGAGGTAGAGAATCTATGTTTATACAAATTTTTTGTTGTAGACAAAACTAAACATTTTCACTCAGAGTACTTAATGACAAGCAGTAAGCAACACCACATTTTAATACACATATTACACTTTTGTTGTTTTGTTTTAGAGAAAAGTCACATTAGGCTATCTACTGTGTCAACTATAGGAAATCAAAGCCCGGATTTTAGCATTGTAAGTCAGTAAATTTATTGCTGTCCCACTGGAGGAACATATTATATTGGAAACACCAACTCAAACACTTACACTGTTGGATAAAGCATTTCTATCAAAGGGAAATACCATAAAACAAGGCAAAAAAGTTCCTCACACCTTTTTACATTTTTGATTTTTAGAGTTATAATTAAAACATTTTAATTATTTCAAGTTATTGACATCCTACTCATTAACACTGTTAGAGACATAAGTCTTGAAGAAAAATAATATTTAAACTATGGTTATTATCAAGACAAATGGAAATGGTTAGGTGTAGTCAACTGATTCATTACAAATTACTGGGTAAATCCAGGGTATAATTTCATCATATAACAATATCTTTTCTCCTAGTTCAATAAGTTATGTAAAATTCATTATGTATTCTTACATATTCTTCTTTAACTTCAACCCACTTCTCAAATTCTTTTGCAGCATAATTCCAATATGCCACCAAATGAGACAGGATTTTCCGAGTCCTCTTTGGTTCTGCAATAGGTTTTCCCCTTCATTAACATTTGAATAAATTAACAAAACTTTACTTAATTTTTCAATTAATTTAAAAAATGTTTAACAATAAGCTCTACATTTTTAAATCTTTTTACAACAAGATAGAATTTTAGAGGTCTTCAATGGTAGGTCTTCTATGTCTTTAAACTTCTGACCACTGCATTATACCTAGGATTTTAAGAATTCTCTCACCATTTTATTACTTTGATATTCAAAATACTACAAAAACTATCAAACAAATGTCTGCAAGAACCTTACAGATTTTGCATGAACTTTAAAACAAATTTTTATATATATATACTGCTTACAATCTATATTTCTGGTTTGAAGTGGAACTTGCAATTTCTTTTACTCCAATGTACAAAATACTATACAATAAAACAAAATTACAACAATTTTTATGTTGTGCAATCTATTGAGCAGCCACTATATTTGAAAGAAAAAAAATTTAAACAGAAAAACATGGAGGAAATATCTCTTACAAATTGGCAAAGCTTACTGTTAACTATTACTCCAGTAAGTTATCCATAATAAAACTCAGGTAATTCATGTTTCTGACAAATCAATTAAGTACTCACTCTTTTTCCCGATTTTAAAAAATGTTCTTTAACTGTAAATACCCAACATTCAGTAGTCTCATAATAAAATGTACTGTAGTTTCACAAAATATAAAGCAGCAATGGTTACTTTCATAAAATGTATAATTAGATGATAACATTAAAATTTTCTATCTTTCCTTACAAGACGGACACGTTCAGTGCTTCCAATTATTTCTGAGCATACAAACAAAGTTGAAGTTCAGTTTATCACTGTGGTTACTTAGAACTATATTTTCCATTTTTTGCAAGCAAAGTTTGTTAATAAGACTACAAAGAAATATATATAAAGTGTGAATTTTTGATGGGAAAATATAAGTTATTAAAGTGCCCCAAGGGTAACCAACCATCTTACATTAATCTTATCAGGTTCTTAACTGCTAAAAGTCCCTACCCGTAACTTTACTTTTTATATTGTAAGCCTTACAAATATTTATTTTGTATTTATCACACATATAATACTGAAAATAGTCCTAACAAGTAATAATGTGACATGCTGCTACAATGTGATAATTTTCTTTTTCTTACCTTAGCTTTACAAAAAAAAAGAGGGTAAATTTAATCCATTATATAGGCTATATCATCTTCACCTTGTCTTATTATTAGTACTTAATATTTATTTTCGACAATTCTAAACTAGTCTCAGTTTTTCAAGTGATAATTCACAGCAAATTAATCACCTTGAAATGTTTACATATGCAAAATATTTCTCACTGTCAACTGAAGACCTACTACGGCAAAAAACATGGATTCAACTAGCTGAATAAAAACTTGTTTTATGAAGTAAAACTGCAAAGATGCAACTTTAAAATTCACAAACCATCCTTGTCACACAATTTTTTAAGTGATGTTTGGCCAGTTTTATGCATGCAATATTTCTTTGCAAAGAGAAACTGATTTATAATTTTCAAACAGTTACAGGTACTTAAAAAGTATCTAATAACTATAATGCTTTAAGAGCAATTTAAAAACACAAAAACATCTGTACAGACAAATCCAAAAAATAATTTGAAATGAACAATGTTTATTAATTATACCACCATTGTAATGAAACTTGGACAACAGACCATATAATAACAAATCCAAACCCAAAACTCACTTACGTAATAGGATATTTGTTTGTATTAAATACAATTCTATAATGTCTATAAAAATTGAATATATTTTATTTTCATACTTATGTATTTTTTAATTAACATTTAATATTATATAAGCAGATTATCAGATTTAATAAAAGTGTTTTTGAAACAAATTCTCACACACCTATGTTTTAAACAAAGTTAAACAAGTTATCTATTTGCTTCTTTATTCTTTACCAATCTCTGTATGTATACACTCAGAAGTTTATCTGAAGGACCCACCTTCATAACAGGCACTGAGAATAAAGTCAAAACTTCAATCATTGAAGAAACCTAGTTCATTAATCTATGCAGTTTAATATCTATTAAAGTACTAAACAGTTTTCAAAAAATACCCAGGCACAGGATAGGCCTATACATATACAGGCATGAGTTTCAACTCAATCCATTAATCTTAAGTTCTATATCAAAATTTTGTTGCTGATTATTATTATTTTTAGGTGTTATTTCATTGGTCCCTAAAGAGTCGTGTTATATATGTTACAAATTACTATTAAATCTTAGCTGAAGCTTCAACTCAACTTCTTGTTAACATTCTAGCTTCTTTGGAAAATGTCAAATTTACTTACTTGGATCTATAATATCTTTGATAGAAAAGTCAGTTATTCCACATAGTTGCATCAAATAATTTCTAGATGGTAAAAGATAATTGATTTTATATAAATTTAAAATCTTGTAATAACACTTTATTATCATCCTAATTAACAAATATACATTATGAGACATTGTAATGTCTACAGTGTTTTTGTGAAGCATTTAATCTAATTCTGTAAATGACTTAAAGATTTATTCAAAACACTATAAGCTTTGGAAAAGAAAAAAAGTTAATTACTTCAACAACTTGAGAAAAACTATTACTATACAAAATAATGTTAAAATATTAATTACAGCTTTAAAACTAGTCTAAACTAGCTGAGGATACAATCTTATGAAATCTTAAACAACTTCTTAGAGTAAATTGTATAGCAAGGAAATGTTATCCAATACAGCAACAAACAAGAAATACTTACATCAATACTTATTGTAAACTGTATAGCAAGGAAATGTTATCCAATACAGCAACAAACAAGAAATATTTACATCAATACTTATTGTAAATTGTATAGCAAGGAAATGTTATCCAATACAACAACAAACAAGAAATACTTACATCCATATTTATTGTAAATTGTATAGCAAGGAAATGTTATCCAATACAGCAACAAACAAGAAATACTTACATCAATACTTATTGTAAACTGTATAGCAAGGAAATGTTATCCAATACAGCAACAAACAAGGAATACTTACATCAATACTTATTGTAAATTGTATAGCAAGGAAATGTTATCCAATACAGCAACAAACAAGGAATACTTACATCAATACTTATTGTAAATTGTATAGCAAGAAAATGTTATCCAATACAGCAACAAACAAGAAATACTTACATCAATACTTATTGTAAATTGTATAGCAAGGAAATGTTATCCAATACAGCAACAAACAAGAAATACTTACATCAATACTTATTGTAAACTGTATAGCAAGGAAATGTTATCCAATACAGCAAAAAACAAGAAATACTTACATCAAAAGAGAGAACTTCACTAATACCAAACAGTCTTCATATAACTCTGGATATTCAAATACTTGTAAGGCATCCCAGCTAGTCTGAAATAATACAAGTAAGATCACATGATTTCACATAGATAGTAGCGTATCACACTTTAAACTGCCGTAAATACAACAAAAAGGGCTTCATTATTAAAAGCAAGAGTTTTTAAATAGAAGGTAAAACTTTTCAATTATAAACTTTAATTACAGTATATGTATAATTAGTCTCATATAGCATACTATCAAAATATTAAAAATATTTTCACTGCAAACGTACTACTGAATATCTAAAAGTTTAATGCTATTGGCTTATTTGTACAAGTTTTATAGCTTTAACAGATTTAATCAAAAACACCTTAGGTGTGAAAAAAGGTGCACCCAAATAAAAGGATTGAGCATGCAAGTTAAAAAAGAATGTGTAGCTACCAGTTTTGATTTCATTCCTTTAAATAGGATGCTCAATCCATTTCTGGCCACACCTTTTTTTCCCATCTAAGGTGTTTGTGATTAGATATCATGACGTTTTGTCAATACACATCAACAAGCCACAGCAAGTAAGAAAGTGGCACTTGATTGTAACCAACATCAGCTTTAGGATCACAGCCCTATAATTCGGAACAGACCGTTACATTTTCAGAACCAACCAGATTCTTTCAAATATATGGTGTAGTTTTTCTCTCTAAAACAGTGTTAATAACTTCTTTTATACAAACACCATGGAATTTAGATTAACAGTTTCTTGTCATCACCCCCATGCAATCGGTACAGTCATATCAAGCATCATTATTTATGCTAATTGCTTAAGCTAATATCACATGATGCTAAACATTTTTTAATTAGGATAATTTCATAAAATTTAATACATTTGTGCTGAAAAGTTTGCAGTGAATATGATTTTTTTAAAACTTGAGCTAGAAACTGCTAATCTAGTTTGCTTGGCCTAATCTAGACTAATGTATCTGCACATCCTTTCGCCTTATAGTTTTGCTACTCTAGATCAGCCATCTTTAACCTGAATCACAAAAAAAAAAAAACACTAAAAACAGTCCACTTTTAGTCTTAAGTGAAGCTGTAATAAAAATGTTAGACCGATAGCTGATGACTTTTTGTGTAGGCATGCATAAACATTTTTATTAAATTTCAGCAGTTTTTGTTGAATAACTTTGCAAGTGTGGCTTATATTTACACCAAACGAGACTCCTAATTGTAGGTTTTAAAAATCTATCTATAAGTGTACTAAATTTGAAAAAAATCCATAAAAGCATGTTTTTTTTATCAAATAAAGTTCCATGCTTTTGGTGCAAAGAAAAAAAGAAGAATAAACTCAATAAAATTGGAAATGTTATATCTCAGATATGTCTCAATGGACTGCCTTGAAATTTGGTATGTTCAGTAAGAGTCCAGTAGAGCACATCCATTGAAAATGTGTAATAGTTTGGATTACCACAGTCCAAGCTACAAAAGGTGGAAAATCACTGTACTTTCACTCCTGTTAATAACACACAGTGTGTCCTGTAGGTTGTGTTTATATCCACAAGATACACTATTTGTGTCATGATTTGTAATTATTTAGTATATTCTAAATGCAATCAACCACGTGGTAAAATATGAAGCTTATATAAACTTGTGCTATGTCTTGGTTGCGAGAAATATTTAGATTTTGTAAAGAAAACTGTAAAAATAACAGGTTTAAGTGTTTATTAACTGATATATCCAAACCAATATACTCATAGATGCTCTTCAGCATCTATGGGTTCATTTAAGTGAAGCATGTGCACTTAGCATTCTGAAGTATCATGATTGGTCAATATTTTTTAAGCAGGTGCACACAAGGTTTTGTTTTTTACGATCAAAAGATTCTTGGTAGATTAAATTTTGAATAAGGAAGTTACCAACAGTCCTTTTCAATTTTTAACCCTATATGAATATCATTGATAATTCAAAAAACATTATAACTCTTTAAAAACATGTAAAATTTTTGTTCTTAACTTATTCTGATAAAGAATGATCATGATTGGTATTTACTCCCTTGTGATCATATGCTCAAAATGAACTAAATAATTTTAAGATGGTTTGCTTAATGTGGATAATTCAGTAGTTTAAAGTGATCACCAGTGTTGAGATCCTAGTCTGGAAGTCATCGTTTATGCAAGGAAAAACATAAGTGTACATAGTATTTAAATTTCTTTTTAACTTTAGGCTGGAAATGCTAGCTCAGTTGAAAAAAAGAAAAATAAACACATTCCCAGTAGGGGTAAAAGGAGAGCAGCTATGAAAGTATAAAAGTCTCAAGACAGTGGAACCAGTGCACTAAATATCGACAGCAAAACTGAATAAAAGAAATTATCACTAATTTACTTAAACTATCAACAAAATTAGTGTCATGACATTCATCACATTGTTTACTTTCTAGTTATAGACCAATATCAACAATTCTACCAATTGGAATAAAACAACCACATCAATGATTGGTGATCTCTGTCACATAGGGAATTCACATAGAGCATTTCCAGCACATAAACGTATCCAATTCACTGATACACAAAACCCTATGCTGTACACAAGAATTACATGTTTTTTACATACTCAAAAGTCTCAAAGGATAATACCAATAGTATTTTACTATGTTTACAAGACTTTTTTCAGCACTGACAAGGAATAGAAAAGTGATGGTAGCAGTATCCATGCAGGAACTGATGATAAAAGATCACTTCACCTATATACTTGATAATAAAAAATATTAAACTGAGGCTTTTCCATTTGTAGTTTTCTTTTTAGTTCTAAACTGATTTTAAAGTTTGAAATTAGGTGATATTCTGCTTGCATATTATTGAATTTTTAACAAACTTTACTTTCTTTTTTCAAAACTTGAAAATTTTTTTCTCATATATATGCACATGTACAATACTAATCAGGGTTGATAGCTAAGCAAGGAAAATTATAATTTTAAATTCTTGTTCTGGTTCATTACTCTTATAATATTTTATGTGTATATCAATGTCAGCATCAAATCTGATAAGAAAAAAGTATAATTGTGATACCTGTGTGGAAGTACCCATCCTAAACTAGATTTTAGTGTATTACACATATTTGATGTTTGCTGTTTTTTGTAATAAAACTGTATATTTGTTTATCAGCAAAAACAATTCTTAAACGTACCTTTGAAGGGGTCACAGATACCTTTCTTCTGCTTAATAATGCCACGCTTTGCTGAAATTAAAGGTGAGAATGTGCAAGTGCTGAAGCTGGGTTTACGTATTCAACACAAAATGTACTTTTGGGGGAATATAATACAGGATGTATTATTGTGTAGACATATTTATCTGAACTACTTTTTACATTGTTTAACCCGATGACTACCGGTACTAACTTTC